ATATAAATGTATTATTTATTAATTAATTATTTGTGAAAAAAATAACGTTGCATTTTTTGCGCGTGGATAAAAGAAAAAACGTTTTTTGTCGGAAAAATAATGTTTCTTTTAATGTTTTTCGGATTGACATTTTAACCAATGAGAAAGGTTTTTAAGAACTGTTATAAAACGTTTCGAAGAAACATTTGTGAAACGTTTCTGAAACGAACATGTGCTACCTGCACTGGAAAAAAAGTTTTGTTGTATTATAAGAAATTCTAGTTGATTCTACTAGTACGTTTGTTCAAAAATGGACGAAACAAATTTGTTGTTGGAATTACCAGAAGATTCTGTTAAATTTCATCCTGTTTAAATCTATCAGAATTTCTTGTAAACCTTACTACATCGTGTTGTTAGATTTACAAAACTCTACCAGAATTTCTTGTTAACTTTACTATATCGTTTTGTTAGGTTAACACAACTTTGTAGTTAAAAAACAAGTTCGGATAGGTGTGGTTTTTGTAAAATACTAACAATATATTTTGGTTTAAAGTATACTCAGTGATGTGATGTTTCCTACCGGGCTCCCGGCTCCCGAGCCCGGTAGGAAACATTACATCACTGGTATACATATATTTCATTAAAAAAAAAAACACCACGTGATCATAAAACTTTTCGGATGTAAGGCTGATGGCAGAGACCGAGACGTAAAAACTTATGTATGTCGTAGTCGTTTCCACACATAGCCAATAACCTTTCACGACTTACGTTTTTCTCTGCCTTACCATACGTTCACGACAGACGTCTACGACAGACATAAGTGCTTACTTCTCATTCTCTGCCATCGGCCTAACTAATATTCCGTAATGGATTCCACGACGCGTAAAACTTTAGCGAGCTCAGTTGAGACTGTTCCGACTACTTAACGCCATTGCTTCGCGAAAGATCTAATGCGCGCGATACACGCCGCGAGTAGCGAGGGCGCAGTAGCAGTGTAACAAATGAATGCGGCGAACAGTTGATCAACCGTTTAGTGAGTAATGACGAAACTGTTGCAGAGCGCTGCAATTTATGTAAATATAACAAGAAGTTTTGTAGATCCAACAAGAAAACACTTATTCAAATCCTTATAGTAAAGTTAACCAAACGGTGTTGATATAAGGTGTAAAATTTTGTGATGATAACCAGAAATTCTGTTTCGTTCGACTAAAATACGGTCAACCAGAAGAATTTTGTTAATATAATAAAACCATTTTTCTCAGTGTACAAGTAATTATTTGGGAACAAGCAAGAAATCGCACTCATATTTGTCATGATTGTCGCGCAAGACTCGCAACCGCCGCAATCGTCACAATTGCAATCGTGATTGTCTTCTTCGAAAGTTCGTCGTAATTTGTCTCGTGTCAATCGTCAACTTTCTTGTCTAGCAAACGCTGTCTCTCGCCGTTAAGCCGAAAAAATTCTCTTCTTTTTGTTAAGAACGATATCTAGTGTTACAACTTTTAACAGATTTATTATTTTGTTATCAAAAATATTTGGATCCCTAAACTAAAAGTGATTAATTTATAATGAACTTTGTAAATCTTATGTATGAATAAAAATAAAAATTACTACCTAAAAATAAATGCTTTTCATACTAAAAATTCAGAAGAGACTACATAAATTTGAACTCACGGTCACATTAAGGTCACATTTTTTTCTTTATTGTAATTACATGACGTGACTGCCACTATGGCGAATTAATGTTGCGCTTTTTTCGGCCTCACTACTTTCGACGTTGTAATTTATTAGCGCTACGTGACAAAGAATTCCAGAGTTCCTTTTTCCCTTGTCTTTCAGTGGTTAATCTGTTTTATTTTGGCTTACTTTTGCCAAAATCTTTGAACTTTACTTTGATACCTTTATTAATTAAAAAGAGATAAATGATACGATTGTAATTAAGTGCTTTTGAAGTTAAATCATTTCTTTCAAATTACTTGCAAAGTCTAGACAAATTTTTGATAAATGTTTATATAGAATATTTTAAAATTATTGATGTCTTTAATCTCAATTTGACATAAATTATTTTTTAGTTGTCAATAAAATTAATATTGCAAATTTGGTCATTTTTTATGACGATACATATTTTTATATGTATTTTGATATATTTTTATGTATAACTGGTAAACAAAAATTCGTAATTTTTGCTCAAACACTAATACATAATTATACAGAGCATTATACGAGTTTGCAGAGTTTTATGTTACCAATTAACGGTCACTGACTCGTGAATAAATATTTATTGCAACTTTACAACTCGGAGATGCGTTAAATTACACTGCATGCTCCAATCAACTCTTTATTATAGCGTATTCTCTTTTGGTTGTGAAAACTTTGTGACGGCCCTTTGTCTTTGTCGGATTATGTGTGTACTGTTCTGCTATTAGCATCTATTATATGCCGAAAGAGCGTATAATAGATGTTAAAAACGGCAGGAGAGGATAATAATCGCGACATTATCGAAGTTTCCTTTAACGCTTCAGTTTCGATATTGAACACTCGCACGATGTAAAACGAGAGCGTTAGATTTCTCGTCGGGAGAAAAGTTTGAATAATTAACCACATTATTAAAAAAAAAAGGTAAGTGAAATCATCACTGAATTATCACCAGAATCGAATCTATTCATAATTGTCGAATCGTCAATGACTTTTGTTCCATTATTGAGTTGTGATTTACTTTTCGCTCCTTCGCCTGACGCTCGAAACGCTCGTTTGCAATATTTCACTATGTGGTTCCCGGCTTTTAGCAAGTGCACGAACGCAACTCGATTTTTCACTTTTTAATGAGTTTTTCAATCAACAAAAGTCGTGCGCTTTCGACGACAGCACATATTTGACTTACACGTATTTCGCTTCCGCTATTTGCAAGTAAACATAAACCGAGCTCAACTATTCAAATTTGGGTTTGGTTGGGTCTTATCGCCGGATTGTCCAATGTCATGCGCGATGCATATCTAAATCGATCCTTTAAGTGGATTCCGACTCAAACCAGGCTTATTCGCAACAAGTCGATTAATGGATTTCATAGACCACAATATCCCACTTACTGTCAAACAAACTTTCCTTCAATTTGCCCGAGGGGGAAACTTTAATTGAGTCGGCTATTTCGAGTAAGACAATGAGCAGCAAAGAATAATCGTAGGATGTGATTAAACTTACAGTAAGATTGCGGCTGAAAATGTCTGAATCTTATCAAAACTAGATATATTTACTTGTTTCATCGAAAAATGCGAGAAATTTTGCGTTAATCAAACTTTGTATAAAACTCGAATTAATTGTGAATAAATACTTAAGTAAAACTTTGCTATTAATCTAAAGAGAAAAAAAAACAGCTACATTTTATATATGCCGGTAAAAGTGGGCTAATTGTAAGTCATATATTTTTATTTGGAAATATTTTGACTTTTGTGTTTGTATGTATTAAAAAATTTTTCTATTACGCAACAAAATATTTTCAAAAACACTTACTTTTAATGTAAGTGTTTTCTGTGATTGTAAAATGTTACAAACTTGTAAGAAAATAGGTTTTTTAATACCTCAAATGACTTAAACGTTTTCAAAATTGATGATAAATTATAAAAATTACTTTAAACAAACCGCTGTCTGATGAAATAATGGAAGAATAAGTATTTTTTTTTTCATAAAACAAAAGTTTATTAGAGAGCAAGTGATCAGAGAGCACTTAAACCATAAGCGGTTCAACTATTTCTCAAAAATAGTTTCATATTATTATAATATAGATTGATGTAACACAAAGTAAATGATAAATTCAATTTTTCAAGATTTTTTAATAATTTATTTTCATAATTATTGACATATATTACAGCAAAATATGCTTTTCTCTATATTTTATATATAAATATATATCCTTTTATATATTTTATTTAATGTCGTGTTATTGAAACAAGTAATTTGATTTAAGAAGCGCGTAAAGAGATTATTATTATTATTATCGTTGATGGTATTTTAATGCTTGTGGAATTTCGCGAGAAGCATTTTCCGGTTGTATTTTACGCCGAGATTCCTACGCTTCGATGATTCCTTCAACCTCGTCAGCATGTACGTATGCGATTTCGGTTCGTGTAGAAGCTTTTTGAAGCCTTTTGTTCGATAACGCGGTTTCCTTCCTCACGCTTCGTACAACAACGCCAGAAATTTATTTATTCACACGTATCTCTCCACGAGCACACATAGCTGTTAACGTATCGCGCACTTGCGGTTAATTGTAGAAAATTAAACCTCTTTAACAAAAACTTTTAAAAATTTGTGGCAATAGAAAGAATAGTAAACCTTATTTTTATTTTACTTTTCTTCTCATGTTGTTAATTGTAAAAATAAGATATTTTATACTTGATAAAAATGGATAAATGTATAAATGTAAACTTAACATCTTTTTAAATATGGTTACACCTAAAATATTAATCTTTCTCTGATTGTGGAATGCAAGATGCTGATAAACGCTATTTTAATCCCTCTTTCTGTCTTGCTTATTGTATTCGTTGTAGAATTTTAATAGGAGAACAGACAAAAATATATTACCGACATTTATCTTTTTGGGACCACAATATTAATATAAAGAGATAATGCTGTATCAAGAATGCGCGATATTATTACAATGCATTGTAATGAATTATGCAAGTACATCGGAGTATGAATGTGCGAATGCAAATTGCGTTTGCATAAAACAGCATTGAGTAAGACATATATTGTTGTAGCGTTTGCATAGAAGCTTTGTATATCATCATGCAATCTTAATTGCTTTACACTCAAAGTGTTTTCATTATCATGCAAGTACCTTGCAGTGCATTTAACATCCATAATATCTTTAATGTTACTTATATATATTATATCGTCGCAAAATAGATTGTGTCATTAAGTAATGGTTAACTTTACAGAGAAGATCGTTAATTTGAATAATTTTTTATTTATCAGTTCTTTTATTAATTCAGAGGTTCTTAGAAAGAGAAAAACATCGAGGAAGATAAGTATTTGTTAACTTTTAACTGCCTTATTTTTAACTTTTAACGTTAAACATTTTTGTAGCTAATCAAATTACAAATTTATTCAAACAAAATTTACTTAAACCAAAAAAATTAATTCCAAATTAATCAAAGATTTTATATAGATAAAACTAATTTGCTAGTTTAATTTATTTATTATTTTCAAGTTTTTATCATTCTTTATTCAGTAAAAAACAAATTTAATCATGTTAAACATCATTATTTTTATTTTATAAAAGAAAATTTCTGATAACAGTTTCTTTACCTTATAATTATAATGACTTGTTGCGCTCGTCCATAAATTCATAATATAAATATAATATAAATATAATAATATAATACAATATATGTTTCTTACATCAATAATTCTCGAAGTACACAGTTCGGGAAGTAAAGATGCGATTCTACTGTCTCTCATTGCGTGGATATATGAAAAGCATGATTGCTTAACGCGAATTCTGCTCAAAGCTAGCTGCACGCGTAATTTCACAGAGAGAGAGAGAACTACGGATGTCTATATAAATCTTAGAGAAGTGTGTTCTAATGTTTGCAGTGCATTTCGACGGAAATGAGGTACTTCCCAGATTGTAAGCACGAAATGTGAGATTGCGAGACATGCAGTCTGAATAGATTTCTCACGATAATAACTGTGCATCACATCAATGATTTTCGATTAATAAACGATAGCGAAGGTATCAATTTGTAGCGCTTTGCTTCAGGCGCCAAAACTGTGAAAAATGTGATAAAACGCTTTTTTATACCAAATTTACAATTGCGATGCATAAGTGGATAATTTCTTAACTAAAAGATTTTATCATAGTATGGAAAAACTGCTAGATCGTTGGAAGAAGTGTATTGAAAAGCATGATATAATATTTGTGTTTGAAAAATAAGCAATCTTTTTTTATTTTTGACAAATATTTATTTTTTAATAACTAATCTGATTTTTCTCTATATATTAATAATAACTTTTGATTTACTCTTTTAATTATCTTTTTCAATATATGCATATTGTATGGGATTGGTAAAAAAATTCGTTCGCTTTTTTGCAACAGATGACTTCATTTGTAAATTGCACTATGCACACATTATTCAATGAGATAATATGCTATACCCTTTTATAGCTGACAACTTTCTGCGCATTTAAAACAAATTTGTTAAACTCGATTAAGATTTGTGAATTTGACGGCGTTTTAAATATGGAGCAGAATAAAGTGCACTTTCGTTACTTGATGCTTTTTTACTATCGGAAAAGCAGAAATGCAACGCAGAAGAAAATATACGTCGTTTAAGGAGAGGATGCCGCAAACAGAAAGAATTCTTTCTGTTTCAATGCAATGTTCGTTCGCAACGGACGATAATCGACTGACACGCAGAGCTGCCAGATTGAAGACCCGTGCAACGAGCGACCAACGCACACACAAGCGAGAATCGCGTACGTGGTTGCGCAAAGCGCTCTGCGCAGCTGTGTACACGATTCTCGATTGTGTGTGTGTTCGGTGGCTCGTTGCTCGGGTCTTCAATCTGGCAGCTCTGCTAACACGGGATAAACAGGCAAAACGTCGATACGCTCGCAGCCCCTCTTTACGACGACTGTTTCAGCTCTATTGAGCGCCTGTTCGCTAGAAAATAGTGCTATTTCTGAAGAATTTTTGTAACAGATTCACGAAGCTAATTCAAAATGGTAAGCGAATGCATCGTACAGATACAGTAAATTGATAAAATTTCCATTCTCGCAAATCTATGCCATATCCTTCTCATGTTAGCCCGATACTCCTACAAAAATAATTTTGGAACGATATATTTATAAGGCATTCTCTACGTACACAAACAAATCTATCATAGAAATTATTTTGTCTTACAGGGTAACGAAAGCTCGCTGCCTATGGAACTTTGTTCAAACTGTAAGTTTGTCGAGAATATATTGAATCTTATTCGAATATCTCGAAATAACCTAATTTTTTTTGTCATATATGAAACATTTTGAGAAGCAACTATCCTGGAATTATTTATCTTCTATACTTTGTGAATATGATTTGTAATATTGTTAAAAATTCATGCAAGTGATGCACAGTATTTATGCGTGATATTGATATTTCTAACACTTTGATATGTCCTAATATATAAATGTTGATGTTCAGTTGATGTAGATGAAATCCGAAGATTGGGGAAAAGATTTCGGAAATTAGATTTGGATAACAGCGGAGCTCTTAGCATTGATGAATTTATGTCCTTACCCGAGTTACAACAGAATCCATTAGTACAACAAGTACTAAATGTGTCAAATTAATGTGTCAAATCAAGTTTGACACATTAATGTGTCAAACTTGATTTGCATCAGGGTGGCATAACGCTCGAAGATGGTGAGGCTAGTTACAGTTGACAATAAAATCAAGGCACTGATCAAGAATTTACATATCCAAGCTTCACCAAACAATTGTGAATAGATTATATTTTTAATGTTTCGCAAGCAAAACAACTACAAATATAGCAGACACAAGTTTGCATTTTTTATCGACATTAAATTATTGGGTCATGTAATAAATAATTTTGCATTTTCCAATAGATGGTATATTGTTTTTTATGCAACACGCTTTTTACGCAAAGTAAAAAAATCGTGGTACGGGCGGAACTTGATAACAACTTCAACAAACAAATATTTAATTTACGTGTTAATCATATTACGCTTTGCACAACAAACAAAGTAGATTTATTTTAAAACTCGGAAATTATTTATTACACAATCCAATATTATGAATGAATTTTACGGTACACACATATACGGTACGCACATTATAATTAATTAAATTAAAATATTAAAATATGATTAGCGTTTACTGTTTTCAAAATGTACTCTTGAGAAAACGCTTTCTATTAGTTTCTTTCTTTTGTCCCATTGATGACAAATGTGCGCAAAATTTTTGTCAGGCAATTTGATATCAATGCGTTTATGTTTAATAAACTACTTAAACTTAATAGATTGTGCATAATAAAACATTAATGCTTTATCATTTTTCTGAAAAAGATCTCACAACTCGATAAAAATAAGAGTTATCAAACAGAGAAGGAAACAGATATGTTGGATTGACGAGTGACGAATTTTAATTGTCATTGAAGAGATTTATTTTTGCGATTGCTTTGTGTATCTTGTCCCGCGAATATAGTATCGTACAATATTGGATTTTGTGCTATGATTCATCGATTACGATGGCATTTGTCCGCTTTTTCGACGAGATAGTGACTGTCGCGCTTTTTGTTTTTATCGCGGTTTTGTTCCAGTGTCTATGAAAAGCAAAAGCTCACTACTTTTCATATAGAACGCTTTTGTGCGGGATTGAATTTTAATATTAAGAATATAAAAAGAATTTTAAAAATTTACGTAAAATATGTTTTCATGTATAAAATATAAAATTACAATCAGAATATGCTCTAATTATTTGTTAAATACACGATTTGTCTGCTCATTGTTTTAATGATCGAACGCTTTGTTTAAATAGCTTAAATGGCATCAAATTTGATACTCGAAAGCGGGTGCAATTAAATTTAATGAATTACCTTCGCTTTAAATCTTCTTTATTTATACACACATTATATCTATCAAGGACAATAAAAAAAAAAAGAATAACAACAAAGACTAAATAATGACAGATTTTTTAGAAAGCGAAATTTGTAAAACTACCATTGTGTCTCTTCGATCGATCACCCGATTACTTTCTCACCTCGCTCACTTTCCCAACGATGAATAAGAAAGATGGCAAGAAAAACGAAATTGAAATGCAGAAAAAGAATGAGAAGATCAAACAAAATAATTGTAGAAGTATAAAAGAAAGGTGTTCTCTATAGAGGACACTCCTTTTTATTTTTGAAACTGTTCGCTCGATTATCATAAAACTTGGTCTAATGGTATTTATTAAGACTTTGTTAAATATGAGATCAAAAATTCAAAATGACGCATCTAATATGATAGACGAAATTTAAAAAAATAATTTTTAAACTCAGTTTTAGGGAATTTTTGGAGTTGCTCGATATAACTTTGTCAGGTAAAATTTTTGCAATTGAATGAAAACTAACTGTCGTGTATTAAAGTCGGCATTTTTGCAGGATTCTCCAAATTTAGAAATATCTCATACTGTCTGATAATAACATCCATATGGTAGATAATAGCGCCTTCTCTGATCTTGTTATCTTATGGTGTCTCAATTTAGAATTTAACAACATCACTGAAATTGATAAGGGAAGAAGCGGACTTTCATCTGATGTTACTGTCTTTTTGACGCCTTAAAAATTTATTTATTTCCCAATGCGGAATTTGTTTGTAACATTGAAAAAAGTTAATCAATTTTATTGCAAAATGTTTGCAATCATATTTTATATACTAATATTAATATGCTTTTTATTACTTGTATCGAAAAATATAAGGTTAATGAAAAAATTAAATAAATTTAATAGGAGCGTAAAGAGCCACAATGTAGGTCCGTCGTGCGAAAATTACTTTATATTCGTTTAAAATTATTTACATTACAAACGTTACATTACAATCGCTTCTTTCGTTTTAATATTGTATACTGAAAAAGGCCTGATGTCAGGCAGAAACGTTTGTAAATAATTTTAAACGAATATAAAGTAATTTTTGCACGACAAACCTGCATTGTGGCTCTTTACGTTTCTATTGAATTTTGATTTTGTCAATTACTAGAGTCTTTTACATTAATTATGTTAATGAAAAAGTTAAATTAATAATAAATAGAGAAAAAATTGACAGAAAACTAACTAGACTTGAGTATCATCGTAGCAATATTTTTTTAAATATTTAAAAAATGTAAATATATTAGAAGATAAATATTAGAAGAAACATGCAATAATACAAGAAATTTATTTTTGCTCTCTCTCCGCCAGTTAGTCATGCGTTTTCTATCTTCAGATATATGGTATCAATTCTAGATTAAAAGTAAGGCTCTAAATGTCAAAACATAGATTTCGAAATAGAAAGATATAAATAAATATACAATTAATTTTTTGAGTAATGCACTTGATATTTTAATCATGTTTATATTTACTTATAAAAAATACTTCTCGCGAAAAAAGAAAACATAAAATGCAGTTAAAACATGTTACAAGTTCAAAATATATAAAACGCTCTAAGTGCCAAGAAGGATAAAGTAAAGAAGGCTCTAAATGCCATATATAGTATATCCACTGTAATGTAAGTAAATGTAACTTTCTTTATTTAACTTTTCTTTTATTGAACAAAAGACAAAAAAAAATAATTATTAAAAGAAATAAAAGATATAAAAGAAATAAAAATTTACTTGCAAATATCTGCAACTAATTGGCACTTGGACCCTTTTTAAAAAAATTGATTAGAATCAAAAACTCTAAGTGCTATTGCTAATAACGTATATAAAGCTCTAAGTGTCATTCGTATAATAAATAACTTACAATAAATTATTTATTTAAGTCACTTATTATACAAATAGTACTTAGCGCTTTATACACTTTGTTAGCAATGACATGTAGAGCAGTTTTCTACTTTAATCGTGATTTTTAAAAATTGGCACTTATTTACTTTTAGTCTAGAATTGATCTTTTTTTTCCCAGAGTCATGAAAATTTCCCGTTTGATGCTATCAAAAGGTTTGTTCACGTCGCAGGCCCCAATATGCTCCTACTCGCTCCAATATACTACTATCTATAGTATTAGGTTACGTATACTATAGATTGGAGCGAGTAGGAGCACATATTGAGGCATGCGAGGCGAACAAACCTTTTGTCACTCCGACGTAGGTTGCTAAACAGGACGCTTTTCTTCACGCATGTGTGGCGCAACAGCTATGAATCCAGCGGTGTATATAGTGTTTGAGTGCTATTGGGCACGAAAAAAGTTACATTCCAATATTCACTGCCAGTACTGAAATTTATTATTTACATTACCTACCTGTAGCCTTTTAATATTGGTAGTTAATATCAAAACACAGTCAAGCTCGGGAGGGTGGAAACATTTTTTAAAAAGTTTAAACAAAGGGTCTGAGAGAGAACCTTTTCCCTCCCAAATTAGTACTTTATTGAAGCCGATTTCCAAACGCATGCGTGAAGAAAAGCGTAGCAACACTGCTCCGATATCTAATTGTCTCCCTTCGACGGTATATAAAGCGTAAAACGTGGCAACAATTTTTACAGTTGTATTAGTATCATTCGATCAGAAACACCATCGACTGTTGAACACCAACGATGTGGCGATTTCTTTTGCTTTTCTTGCAAATTGTTCTAGTAGTGGCGACAAATTCGTTGTGCGAGGATATTGCGCGAGAAGAGAGGGATAAACTAGTCTGTGAGAATTTAAGCTGCCATAATATCTGTGACGGAAAAGTTCTCGAAGCTATGCATAAAGTAAATTGTTTCGAAGATCAATTACATTGATTATTGAATATTAGCAACATGAATCTTCTGGCAATTCGGGAGGATGCCTTCAAAACCGTTATGGTGACGTATTTGTATCTGCATAAAGAAAACTATATATCTGACCTGACGAGGGGATCCTTCCGTGATTTGCCCAACTTGTACTATCTTGATCTGGACAACGTGATATCATTGTCGGAACACCTGTTTGCGGAATTGCCATGGTTGAAGACGCTTTTGTTGAGATTCTACGTGATCGATTCGATACCGAAAGACTCATTCGCTGGTCTGTGGGGCTTAAAATGGCTACATTTGGATCACAATGATATCCAGGCGATCGAAGAGGAATCTTTTTTGAATTTAAATCCCGGACTGAAGCACCTGTACTCTCAACAACAATCAAATCTCGCACGTAGCGCCTGACACCTTCGCCAGATTTACCAAGTTGATGCATTTCTATTTAAACGACAATCAGTTGCAGATGTTATCGAGCGATGCCTTTCGAGGATTAAATAAATTGCAGATTTTCTGCCTGCATCATAATATGATAAGCGTTCCCACGGCGTTTCTCAGTGACTTGGTCGGACCAAGAATGCTCTTTCTAAAGTACAATGAAATCAGCACTCTTGAGCGTTTCAGAATCTGTCTCTGCTAGAGCTTCTAGAACTGATTGTATGGTCTTTCCGACGCCTTACGAATCTGTTTAATTGTAAAATGTTTGCGATCTTATTTTATATACTCGAAATATTAATATGCTTTTTGTAACTATTATTCCTTGTATCGAAAAATATAAAGTTAACGAGAAAGTTAGATTAATAATAAATGGAGAAAATGTTAATGGAAAACTAATTCATCTTTTCTTTCCTAGAATGCAACCATGAAAATTTCCTATCTCAAACAT